ATAGTGTATATATATATATATACTATATATATATATATATATATATATATAGTAATTCCACTCGGCTTGCAGAACCTTAGTTCCCCCCACAGGATCGAACCTGGGCCCCGAATGTGAAAGTGCAGAGTCCACTGGACTGCCAGGGAATTCCCTCATTTTCATATTTTAAAATCTCTGAAATCATGTCATGTCATGCTTTAACTGGCAGAGGTGTTTTTTTTCCTTCATGGAATGTAAAATAATGGTGAACTTTACAACTGATGGCATCTTAGAGTTGATAAAATATGTGAAAATAATTTGCCACATCTTCTGCTCTACTAAAACCACTGAACAAGAAATCAGGGCTTTGAGGAAGTTCCCTGGTGGTCCACCGGTTAGGGCTCCGCACTCTCATTGCCAAGGGCCCGGGTTTTGACCTCTGGTTGGGGAACTAAAATCCTGCAAGCCACGTGGTGCAGCCAAAAAAAAAAAAAAAAAAAAATCAGGGCTTTGAGGGTGAAAAAGAGGAATCAGCGTTATCTTGTGAGTAATTTCTCTGGAGGTCCAAGGGAGAGAGCAAACTTCTCAACAGACAGTCCTCTAGACATGTTTGCCAAAAGGCTATAACATGGGTTTTACATTCTTCTGAATATTGTGCCATTTTGCTTTATCACCTTTCATTGTCTTCCCAACTTTCAGATCTGTTCTTCCCTAGATGCTAGGCTGAGCCATCTGAAACAATGTACACAAATATTTTGAATTTAGCTCAGTTAAGAAAGCCCAGGGAATGTGCGGAAGAATTCCTCCTCATAGGCATGTTCCTGGAATATGACAGAGCCAGAGGAATGGACTAGGAGCCTACTCACAGTCACTCTTCTGATCGATCAACACATTAAACACCTACTGTATGCCAGGCACTGTACTGGGCAGAGCTGATACATAGATGAGACATGACCTGCCTTTTTAAGCCGCTTGCAGTCTGAAGGAGGGAGAGGACACATAAGCCGCTCATAACCACAGAGTGTGAAGAGTGCTCCCAGAGGCACAGCTGTAAGAAAGAAGACAGGCAGTATGACTGGGTTGGCTTAGATGTGGCGGACTGGGGAGATTTCATGGATAAAAGTTTATTAGTTGAGCTGAGACTTGAGGTGAGGTCATAGTAGGTTGAATGGGTGAAGAAGGTTGAAGAATAATCGATGTGGAGGAAACAGCTTAAGTACAAGGTGGTAGTGTGTGTGTGTGTGTGTGTGTGTACTGTAATAGTAGCAGCAGCAGCAGTAGTAGTAGCAGTTGTAGGGTAGAATGCCTCAGATGAGGAAAGAGATTAAGTAAAGTTAGATGAAATCACTTCTCTGAGCCTGGGGTTTTTCATCAGTACAACAAATAAGCTGGACTAAATCACTGACTTTCACCCCCTACCCCATTCCTGCAGAATTTGTTATTTCAGAGGGAAGCTCAATAAACACAAGTGTGCACACACACACACACATAAAATAAATATACATATACCGTTGACCCTTGAACAACATGGTTTTGAAATGCATGGGTCCACTTATACATGGATTTTTTTCAGTAATACATACTACAGTACTATACTGTCCTTTTTTTTTTTTAATTCTTAATTTTATTTTTTTTGGCTGCATTGCTGCACATGGGCTTTTGTCTAGTGTGGAGAGCGGGAGCTACTCTTCGTTGCAGTGCGCGGGCTTCTCATTGCGGTGGCTTCTCTTGTTGTGGCTCACGGGCTCTAGACGTGCAGGCTCGGTAGTTGTGGTGCACGGGCTTAGTTGCTCTGCGGCATGTGGGATCTTCCTGGAAGAGGGATCGAAGCCGTGTCCCCTGCATTGGCAGGCGGATTCTTACCCACTGCACCACCAGGGAAGTCCCTACACTGTCCTTGATTGGTTGAATCTGCAGATCTGGAGGGCCAACTGTAAAGTTATGGGTGAATTTTCAACTGCATGGAGGGTTAGTGCCCCAATCTCCACACTGTTCAAGGGTCAACTGTATACAACATAAAAAACATATATATAAAAGCCAGAGTGAAGCCAGTATAAGCTCTGAGCAGCTCACCTAGAAAACCCTAGGAACAGATGACAGCAGAGGTGCATCCCATCCCACCCCCTAAAAGTATGACCCACTTAGGAGTGAGAAGCCCCTGGTCCTAGGATCTTCCCCAAATACAAAGAATCCCAGGTTCCTCTGCAGCAGGCCAGGCAATCTGGCCAGTCTTTCTTGAGGGGAAAAGAGGAAAGGGACTCTGTTTCAGAGCCTTACACAATGATACAGTTTAGTACATTTAAAAGTTTTTGTATTGTCCCAGAACTGAATCATATATTTTGAAGGTAAGTACAGACATTAGGTGTTTAACATACTCTTTCAGGGTGAGAGTTATTTTTCCTTTCACGCGGTCAGATGGATAATGTTTTAGGAACTTGGTTCCTGCTATTTTTAGAGGAGAGATATAGCATGCAAAGTGGGGCTGGAATCTTAGGAGGCTAAGAAAAATGAGGAACTTGTACCTTACCATTAAAAAATTAAATAGGAAAAAGAGAACTGACTTTTAGCCATTTAAAGCATTTGGTTCTGCTTCTTTGAGTTCCTAAATACTAAGAAACATGAATGTCCTGTCTTTGGGTGAAAAGAGGGTATCCTTTTCTTAACTCAGAACTTCTGCTCAGAAATGTAGTCTTTTTGGCACGGGAGGACTGGGGTCTTTGAGTTCACACAGAGCCGCGAGGGTGCCTGGGTTCCAGAGCTCCTGAGGGAGACACGGAGGCCTGGCTAAGACCATCCTAGTGTCTGGTGTCCACTGTTCAACCAAGAGGATCCTCCTCTTACCAGAGTCAGCTTTAGGAAAGGTTAAGTGGTATTCTTTTTGAAACATCCTTTAAAAGCATCTATTTCCTTTGTCTTGGTTCTACTTTTCCAAAAAAGAATTCTTGAGTAGGTAACATTTACACATGTAATCAATTTAAAAGATATCAAGTGTAAAAGTTACAAAGTCGTACTCTACAGTGAAAAGAATTTCTCTCGTCGTTGTTCCCTACAGATGCAGTTTCCTTCAACAGAAGCAACCATTGTCACTTGTTTCTCATGCACCTTCCAGAGATACCACAAGGATATCCAAGCATTTAAGTGCACGTCCATGCACATCCACAAACTCACAGCCCGTTTCCACCTTGATCTTTTCACTCAGTTTATCTTGGAGGCTGTTGCTAAATTTATTCCTAGGTATTTCATTAGACAACTCCTTATGCACTCATACTTTTCTCATTTTTTCTATGATAATCTATTTAAAATTTCTTTTTGAGGTCACAATTACAAATTTATATATTTTCCTAGAAAATTATCCATTTCATCTATATTACTCTCATGTTTATCTGCAAAGAGTTGAGGAAAGAAATAATTTATGATACTTTCAGTTTCATCTGTCTGTGGTTATTTGCCTATGCTCATATCTAATTCTGTGGACTGAATAGATTAGCTAATGCTATATCTATTTTATTGGGGGTTTTTTTCCCTCCAATGAAGCAGCTCTTGGATTTATGAGTACTACCTTTTCTGATTCTTTTCAAAATGATAATTTCTTTTATTTTTGTTAATTTTTCTTTTGTTCTCTTGGGTTTATTTTATTATTCTTTTTCAAATATCTGCATTAGATGCCTAATTCATTTAACTTCACAATTTTTGATTAATATAAGTAGTGCTAAAATTTTCTGAGTATTACTTTAACTGTATCACATGTAGGAGTTTCCATTATAGATAACTGTAATATAATATTTGCTTACTATATATTCCTATATATTATGTATATATTTCCACATAAATAATTATATTATTTATTTTCTAAATATCCTTAGTTTTGGGGGTTGACTTCCTTTTTGATCCAAGAATTATTAAGAGACAGTTAAAACATTTCTAGGTCAATATTGGCTGTGTTGTATTTTGTGAAACTGCCCGAGGTTTTCTTCATGGTCTTAGATATAGTCATTTTTTGGTGAACTTCCGGTGTGAATTGCATCCATTGTGAATTGCATCCTTTAGAAAACAGAATGCTTTCTGTCATGAAGTCAGCCTTTTCTGATGTTCAGATTGAGACCCCCTGCTACTTTGGCTTTCACTTGCTCGGTTTGCTTTTGAATTCTTGTATTTTCAACCTTTCTGAGTCACTTGGTTTGTACACAGCATCCTGTTGGGTTTTGCTTTGTGATTTAATCTGAGAGACTGTTTAATAGGGGCGTTTTATGGCATTAAGATGACACGTATATTCTAATTGTTCTTACTTTGTCATTATATTTTATGGTATGCTTTCTGTGTTTATGAATTCTAGTCACTTTAAAAAAAATCTTTTACAATATGGTCTGTGTGTATGTTCCTGATAATTTAGAAAGTTTGTGTTTTTGTTTTAGTGGTTACATCTATATACAAGTCACTTCAATATAATATACTTAATTCTCTGTTTCTTAGAATCTTCTGAACTTCTTCCTCCCCTTTTCTCTGGGTTTCTGACACATTCTAATGTAATTCTAATAAAGGCACTTTTGTTTCCCAGTAGATGGCGCTAGAGACACAATGTAAAGAGCTTGCTTTGTAAACATACACCTTGTCTGAGTCCAGTCGGTCCTCTAAACCCCAAGCAGTTCTGGAGGAGGGCTGAACTTTTTGGATCTCGAAGGCCAAATCCTGGATGGTAGTGACCCACCGGGGCGCTACTGTCCTGTGAAGTCTGGGTGACCAACTATCTCCCACACTGACTTTAAAAAAGACAACAGTGTTTCCTTAGGAAACAATTAGACTGGGAAAAAGAAGCAGCTGTTAACATGGGCTCAAGAAGATTTTAATCTTACCAACCCATATTCCCAGTGGTATTTATGTTATGCTTTCTTCCCTAACTTTAAATGGTGCTCACAATATTTAGTTCTTTCTTAAAGCCATATTTGACTCAAAATCGAACCCTTAAAATAGTCCCAATGTGATTGCCCGGATCAGTCAATCAATTACTTACTTTTCTTGACTTTAAAGAAAGTCATGGAATTTTCATGAAGGAAGGACCCAGGGCATATTTCATGTCTATTAACCTGATACTGAGCAATCTATGATATCGAGCAATCAATGTTTACTTTAGCTTTTCTCTCTGTAAAACAAAGCTGCTATTATTTGCCACCCCATACATTACATGGAAATATTTGATAAATGATATGTTTGAACATTTTCAGGAGGATGGCATAAATAAAAGGGCTAAATTTCAGGAAATATATATAGAACACAAAGCAGAGCTTAGAGAGGGTAAGACTTCAAGAACGGCAGAGAAGCCCTGACTTAAAATTTAGACACTTGGGAAAATTGTAAAAAGAAATTCTTGCTGAATGAGAAGAAAAAGAGAAGGTTCCAGTCTGTCTTTTCCAGCCTCATGCCCTGACACACTCCCTCATGCACTTACTGGTCAGGCAAATGGGAAACTTAGAATTTGTCTCCCAGATTCACTATGTCTTTGGACCCTTTCTTGTAACTGGAATGACGTTTCTGGGCTCCCCTACCCAACTCTGGCAAAGCCCACCAGGTCATTTAAGAATGCTTATTCTCGGGATTCCCTGGTGGCGCAGTGGATGGGAATCTGCCTGCCAATGCAGGGGCACGGGTTCGATCCCTGGTCCAGGAAGATACCACATGCTGCAGAGCAACTAAGCCTGCGTGCCACAACTACTGAGCCTGTGCTCTAGAGCCCGAGAGCCACAACTACTGAGCCTGCGCTCTAGAGCCCACGTGCCACAACTGCTGAGGCCCGCACGCCTAGAGCCCATGCTCCACAACAAGAGAAGCCACTGCAATGAGAAGCCCGAGCACCGCAACAAAGAGTAGTCCCCGCTCGCTGCAACTAGAGAAAGCCTGCGCATATCAACGAAGACCCAACACAGCCAAAAATAAATAAATAAATAAATAAATAAATAAATAAATAAATAATAAATAAATAATGCTTATTCTCTAATGCTATTTCCTCTGTGAGGGACTGTATCCTCCACAGCTAGAACTAATCCCCTTTTCTAC